CAGGGAAATGCCAGAGAGATCGTACCGAAGTCCTCCTCGGGAGGGGGAAAAAAACCCAGACGTGAGGGCCTGGGGACGTGGCCGTAGAACGCCTGGGCAGGCCGCTCGCTGTCAGAGCCCACAAACTGCCCTGCTCCCAGGGGGTTTGCACCAGCACGGCGTGTGTGCGCGAGCATCGCCTCCAGCTGCCAGCCCTCCAGGAGAAAGGGGCTTGGAATAATTCGGGACGGCATCTGCGCGGCCGGGATTTGTGTACGGCTGCAGGCAAGTCAGCCTGTTCTTCTGAGAAAATTCTCCTGAGGATTTCTCAGCCGATACGGAAATCGCAGCCTCGCTTGGCAGTTACGCACTGACCAGAGGCGGCACGCTGCGATTCCCCTTCCCGGCGTCGGATTTGGATTCCTGGGCAAACACAAGGGCTGCGAACTTTCCTCGCGCCCGGTGCGCAGTCACGTTTTGGGCTTTGAGAAAGCGTCTCTGTTGTTACGAGGGGGCTGCGAGCAGCGAGCGCCACAGCTTGCTTCTGTGCAAGTAAAACTTGGGAAAAATCAGAGGGTGTTAAAAAAAAAAAGTGTCTTCTTTTTCTGTGAATTTATTTGATGTTATCACATACCGATAATCCATTCTGTACAATTTTAACGGCTTTGTACTTCATCCTGGCCCTTCGGGGTGTTTTGCCATAGTTTTGAAAGGGACTTTTTAAGGACTTTCCAAGGACTTTTCTAGGTACCTTTGGAGCTGCTGCAGCGCCGTGAGACAAGCCATACTGGGGGTTGCTGGTGGGGTTGCATGGGGTGACGCTGGGCGCCGCAGCGGTGGGTGCTGCCGAGGAGGGTGGCCGGGCTCTGGTCGAGAAACACCAGCTGACCCCGCAGGGCCAGGCTGCCCTCTTCTGTCAGCCGGCCGAGCAGCTTCGGGAGGATTCCGTGGATTTCAGTGTTGCCTTTTAGGGGAAACACGTCTGCAGAAGCGGGAGGAGAACAGCAGAGATGCTGGAGGGCTGCTGCTCTGCGTCCGGGCTTGTGTTCGCATCCTTTCTGTAGCTGGTTTTCCCCTCGGTTGTAGCTGTACAGATAACTGATGATTATTTCATTAAAGTTGAATGTACCTGTTGTTTTCTTGCCTCGTGACTGAGTGCACAGGTATGGGGAGATTTTATACAGGCAGGGATAAATTCACAGTGGCACTCCGCTGTATCCAGCTTTTTCAGGCAGCCATACGGTGAGCAGAAAGAAATCTTAAATCAGAGACCTAAAATCTCTGGAGGCTTGCTCCTCCGGTGCTTTTTTATAAGGTTTCCTTGCGGTTGCTGGCCAGTCGTTGCCATTCGCAGAGTCCCGGCTGCCCGGGGACTGCTGCGAGCTGTTTGTGAGGGATCGCGGATCTCCAGGGGCTCGGAGAAGCCATCCTGCTGCCCGACAGGTCATTCCCTGTCCGGTGCCCCGTACCGCCAGAGGAAAATGTTGGAGGCTCTGCAGGCTGCCGGGGCTCAAACCCGGCTGCGCACGGAGCGCGATGGCTCCTCTGGATCCCGCGTGGAGGGTCTGGTTTTCCCCACCAGCTGCCGGTTCGTGCTTTCTGCTCCCAAGGCTCTGGGTTCCGATGTCCAGGAATGGTTTGGTGCTGACGGGGTCCGCGGCGGGGCTGGCACCTCGGGACAGGGAGCAGCAGGGTCGGTGCTTCAGCGCTTTCTGTTACAGCTCAAAGGGGTCCCATGCCCGATTTTTTTTTTTTTTTTGCTTAACATCGATGTAATTTTTTGAGAAAATTTGTAACATGACAAAAATATAGAAAAAAGTTCTAAATTTTTAATAGTATTAATGCTATTTATTCTTTCAGGTTTACAGAACAAAATATAGACTTGTAGCAGCTGCTAATGACTTAATTAACACTCTCCTTCATTATGATTAGAGAGTTGAATGTTAATAAAACATTTATTCTTTCAGGGAAGGAATGATAAATTTACTATTGCGAAGGAGAACCGGACCAGGAGAGCTGTGAGGACGTGACTGCCTGGTTGTGCCTGAGCACCAAAGGGTGGCCTGGCTTCAGGACCGGGTTCCTCACCGGCAGCTGAAATGAACTGGAGTAATACATAGCCTTGGTTTCCTATAGCCCCATTCAGATTGCTTTTGGGCCACCTGGATCCTGACCCAGGAGTTCCTTGCTTGGGGCCCCTCTGTATGATGGAAGTGGTTTCTTTGCAGCAGCATCTTAATGAATTATTTGGTTCTTCTGCTCACCCCACCGCCTGTGTTGCTGCTTTTCTCCCAGATGTTCCCAGTGCTCCTCACAGCGGGGACTGTTTGGCTTTGCATCCAACAAGTCCCCTAGCCCTGCTTCGCCGTGTCATTTGGAGTATTTTCATTTCCCTCAGCTTTTTTATATTACCAGCAACGAGTATTTAAGCAGTATAACTCATTCCCAGGAAGGCTTCCAGAGGGATAAAAAGCTTTTTTGTTGTGTCAACACTGAGCCCAGCAGAAAACAAATATACCCGCTGGAAAGGTCCATGTGGAAATTGCTTTTAGTCAATGAGGGTGTGACCGACAATCTGGGAATAAAACCTCGTAGCACCACTGTAGTGTTAACAGGCAGCATTCTTTACTGCAGCGCTGGATGCATGGGGATAATTCCACCGAACGTGCATACCTCATACCTTTTCCATGCAGTTTATATAGATCAAAAATATACATATTTATTTTATTCATGCATATTCAGTATTATTCTCTTTGGCGATTGGTGTAAACTTTTCTCGCTTCTTACTTGAATTGTTGCGCAGACTCAGTCACCCTCTTCCGTTGTTCCTTTTTGGGTAGGTGGTGTCACTTGAGTAGGGGGTCAGGGAGTCGGTGGTCGCCATCTCCCCCTGCTGGAATCACCTTTTACCTACTGGGCTCTCAATCTTGGCAAACCTGCTCAGTTTCTTCAGCCCGTTTCACAGAACCAGACTCCATCGTTTCTCTTGACAAAAACACAAGTACCCGCTATGGTTCGCGTTAGTGGTCACCTAGAGACGAGACCCTCTGTTCCCAGACCTGATGTCCAGGTGGGTCAGGCTGTACCAGGGACATAGCAGCACTGTTCGTGTTTATGGTCAACTGATTCTATCACCCCGGTTACAAGGGCATGAACAAATACTGCGTTTTCTTTCCTGGCCTGGGACACCAACAGTGCATTAGAAATGCGTGGGCTGCTTAAGCCGGATCTCCAGCTGCTGAAGGTCACTGCAGCTCCGTATGCTTCAAAGGACCACGTCTACAGCAGCCAGGAGTCGAGCGTTTGAACTGAAGATGCTGTCCCTGTGTAAATAATGGGCTTTTTCCTATGTGTGCTGATGTTTAAAAATGAAAACCCAAGAGCTGTTTTTACATATGCATGTACGGACAGATGGATGGATGGATGGATGGATGGATGGACAGACGGATGGATGGATGGATGGATGGATGGATGGATGGATGGATGGATGGATGGATGGATGGATGGATGGATGGATGGATGGATGGATGGATGGATGGATGGATGGATGGATGGATGGATGGATGGATGGATGGATGGATGGATGGAAGCTGAACCCTGCTGATGGACCCACATGTTAGGGGCAGTGAAGCCCTGACATTGCCTGTCTGACAGGTACAGGGTTTCAACAGGAGCCACTCAAAACAATGAAATCCTCCAGGAGACCAGATTGATTTAAATAATTTGCTTTAATATTATTTTACATCTGCAGTTTTATTTCCCAGAGAAATGGTTCTTGTTAGCCCTTGTTGACTGCTATTAAAATAATGAAATACTTTCCTTTGCAACCAGATAAAATCTTAACATTAAATGTGATTCTTTTAAAAAACCTAATAGG